ACTGAGTCTGATTATGGACACAGATCAGTTAAGTTTGTTATTGTTACTGCAGTCGTTTTATTGACAGCAGTAAGTTCGTTATTTTCACAGCCGTCAATCCCTTGACAGCAGTGTGTAGTTAAGGCTAAGCGTAAGTTGCAGTTATTGTGGATGACGACCCCTGGTGAAAAGCCGGCCTGGGTCCGGGGCGCCATAGCAGAGCGGATGTCCACTTGGGTCTGATGCTGAGTTCCAGCCCAAGAGTGTTCCTCCCGTGTGAAGGGAGTCGAGTTACATGGCCATAAGTCACGTTTATATTGCATGAATTTTTGTATTCAATGTTTGAAGATTTAATAATCATATTGGAAATGTAATACATGTCTTTTTATTTCCGAAGGTTGGGGATAGACTTTCCCCCAAGGTACAGGTAACATCAATCCCACACCACGTCGGGGTGTCGTCGCCGACTCGAGGTGGACGGCCGCGTCGCGTTACAATATATTGGAATCAACTGGTTGGAATATTAACTATGAGAAGTCATTGTTGATTCCAACATCGAAAATTCAGTACATAGGTTATGTTATCGACTCTTGTGGTGACAGTGGGGTACCAGAATTAAAAGTACCAAAGCACAGAATATGCAACTTGCGTAAAGACATTTATCGTTTGCTTGGCAGTCCAAACATCAAAGCCCGTTTCGAGATACGGGGCCATGGAATCGAGACACTTGCTCACGTGCGCAACATAGCGAACCTTTCGAGATACAGAGCCCAGATAGATGGGCAACTGGAGACGGACGCCAGCCACATTGGTTGGGGCGCTGTGTATCAGGGCAGACAAGCACAAGGACTTTGGAATGCAAGGGTGTCATTCTAGTCTTCCAGTTACCAAGAACTTATAACAGTTCTGTTGGCTGTTGTGTCATTTAGGGATCATCTCAAAGGAAAAGTGATTCAGTTCTTGTCAGACAATGTGACCGCAATTTGTTACTTAAATCACATGGGAGGCCCCAGTTTGGAGTTAACAAAGTTGGCGAAAGCAATTTGGGCAGAATGCCTGGAAAACAATATAACATTGCTAGCACGTCACTTGCCAGGCAAAAGCAATGTAACAGCAGATTATTTATCTCGGTTGACAAGCAAATTCGAATGGAAGTTACATCCTCGCCTCTTTGGTTACATAGATCAGCTATGGGGTCCTCATACTTGCTTCGCATCAGTGCAAACAACACATCTGCCTTATTACAACAGTCAGTATTGGGATCCACTAACTTCAGGAATAGACGCTCTAGCTCAGAGAGATTGTTTTTCACACAACAACTTTGTGAATCCACCATTTCGCCTGCTTCCAGAGGTATTAGATATGATAATACAACAGCAGGCTGTGGCCACGGTAATCGCCCCGTATTGGCCAGGGCAGGTATGGTTCCAAAAACTGAGGAAAATGACAGTGGCTCCTCCACTGAAGTTAAAGATAAACTGCTATTCGGTGCTGTCGAGGATGACTTCTCCAGAACCTTTAAGGAACCGAAAGTGGAAAATTTACGCATGGCGAGTATCTGGAACACCAGGTTAATAAGCAGTGGTTGGTCCAATAGAGCTGCAATGCAGTTTCCACAATGTTTAGCTCCATCTACATTACGCCTTTACAATGGTTCTATTGAGAAACTATATAAATTTTGTGTTGGGATGTCTGCAGTATTTCCACCAGTGCATACTTCAGTTATTGCATCATTCTTATGTCATATTGCAGACTCCTCGGATAAACCGAGATCTCAATTAAAGACTGCCTTAGCAGCACTGTCTTGTTATTATGAAAGTTCTGGTTTACCTAATCTTGTTAGTGACAATGACATTCAAAGGCTCTATGTGGCACTTGTCAAGTCCTCGACAGTAAGTCCAATGCAACATTCAGCAGTTTTACCAGTTAATGCTTTTCATAGTTTGTTTACAAGGTGGCCTGATAATGACAGCTTGTCTGTTAAGGAGCTTAGACTTAACAAAGTTACTTTATTGTCACTTGTAGTCATGTTAAGGCCTTCCGATATTGCTCCAAAATCAGTAGTTTTTAATCCAAGCACTCTTAGTATAAGTATGATTTACTACTGATCAGTTGTTGTTAGAAGAGGATGGCTCTTTGAAAATCATTTTCCTTGGTATTAAGAATGATATTCAGAGAACTGGATTTGAGGTGCATATTCCGCCTTGTTCTAATAGTAAACTTGATCCAGTTATTGCTCTCAGAGACTACATTCTTAGAATGAACCAGCATCAAACTCGGGACGGTCCTGTTTTTTTTTTGTCCCTTCGGAAGCCTTTTAATCCCTAGGATGCATCATCTATAGCATGCATTCTTAATGACAGTATCAAGGCTGCTGGACTTTCAACGGACGTATATTCTGCTAAATCATTCCGTCCTACTGGAGCAACTTATGCTATTGCAAACAATGTGCAGCCGGAGATTGTCATGAAACTGGGCCGATGGAAAACACCATCAGTGTTTTTTTAACACTATGTACATAGTAAACCCCCAAATTCATTTACCACAGACTTGCTAAAAGGAGAATGACTTGTGTAGTTCATATTTTCTTAAAAGTGAGAACTTAACTTCACATTTAGGGAGTAGGCAGGTTGTCTCTATTCCTGCGCTGACATTTCCTTGTTTTCACTATTTAGGGTAGAAATTCGCTTCCCATATAGTGCTTGTTCCATTTATTGTGTATTTCTTGCACATTTTAGCAATTTTCCATGTTTTGTACTCTTAGCAGTTTCGTCTTTTTTACTTAAGACGTTAAATGTTCTTGTTGTTACCCTTTGACTATGAGTGTTCAACTTATTTTAAGTTTCTTTTTCATATTTTTTCCCTCACTATTTAGGCATATTATTATTCCGACCAAGTGTTGTTCCTGATGACGTAGGTTTACAAAATCTGGAGTCTGGGAACTATACTTGGTCTTATCTTGGTCGCGCAGCGACCTCTATCGTGGTCTTTGTTTGTTGGTGTTTTAAGTAATTGTAAGTTACTTCTATATAATATAGGTCAATTATGTTGAATATGGTGGGAAGTGTTACCAACTATTACTTAGACAATAAAGGCATATTATTATTCTGACCAAGTAATGTTCCTGATGACGTAGGTATACAAAAAAAATCGAAAGCTGACATTCTAGTCAACCAGTTCAGTTCGGTCTTCACCCGTAATTACCATGCCATCGGTAATTCCCCAATTATGACAAGAAAGCGAGTAGAGACATGCCAGTCTTAGTGAAAGGAGACCCAGTGTACATGGCACCCTTTCCTGGAGCCAAGCAATGATCATCATCACTCTCCAAGATCCTATATTATGTAGTAAATAATGCAATGTCCACGAGCCCGATATCACGATAGCAGGCCGAGCGCCAGCGAGGCATGCTATCGTGGATATCGGGCGAGGGGGTAACAGTGCATTATTTATCATACATACAAAGGGAAATCGTGCGTGTTCCCCACCCAATACCCCTAACTTTGAATAGAACACGCTGATATCACCGCGCATGGGGTGATATCAAAGAATGGGCCTTCCCCGCGTTTACTGCCTAATTGCGGTCACCGTCCAATCATCTTCGTTTGCGTTAGTGGTTTTCTGAGTAGTTGGCCGATTTCCTGCCCATCTTCCGCACGTGGCAGTCACTCCGTCTCATTCATTGTATCGGTGGCTGCAATCCTTTAGTTTTGATATCAGCCCCGTGGTATGTATAGTAGAATACAAGGGATGAAACTACGGAAGGTACCTGCGCTTATCAAACTACAGAGCAAATGAAAGAAACCCAAAGCCCAAGATATTGGATATTCCCATACCAGCTACCAAAAAAACACCAAAGAACCAGCTACCCAAGAAACTCCAAAGAAAGAACCAGATCCAAAGATAGTTTATACAGACCCAGTATGAAGGCCAAACCAAAGCAAGTTAATACCCCATTAGTGAAAACTTGATGGTCAAATTGGAGTCAAAAAAGACTCATTACACATGATCAAAGGTGATATCCTTTTCAAAGGGCAGTCATTATCTAAAGCTCACATGATTATATTATTAATAAACAATTTTAAAACATAACCTTTGAAAACAGTACAGGGTTCCAAACAACAGTGAGGGAGTGCTTTTTTCATATTTGCCAGTCGCTTTGGTGGCGTATGCAAGAATTGGGATTAGCACCTCTGTGCAGATGACACCGAAGACTGAGTCAGTGTGTTCGGAAGTTTATGGCGCTGGGTTATTTACCCTTGCCACTGCTATGCCAAAACTTCCGAATGCACTACAATGCTAGTTGGACAAGACAATACATACTACATTAATTCTAGCTCAGAGAGTACTAGCTAGGACAGTATTAGTTCAGACAATTCTTAAAGATGGATTGGAGGTTCGAGAGCAAGTCTGTACTGAGTATTAACTTTGGGCGTCCTTGTAAGCACAGAACATAGCAGTTAGAAAGATGTAATGTACATTGAACAGAGACATGCATGTCTAAGGTCAGTCAATAAAATTTACGCTGCAGAAAAGGAATTGACACTTGTGTGTTGTTTTTTGAAAAGTTGTCTCCAATCAGAAATCACACAGTACGGCCATGAAAGATGGGGAATACTATACATAAAGTAACACAAGCAGTTAACAAACTATTGATGACAAAGACAGACTTTAAGATGGTCATTACAGTTCTTTTTTTTTTTTTTCTTTTATGATATGGTAATGTATCCTTGGGAAAGCAACAAATAGCACATCAATATATTAGGAAAACTGGGGTAGTGGGTCTGCCTGTGAACTGTTTATGCAAAACAATGTACAATATGATGAATTGTCAGATTATTTTCCATTTTGTCACTCCAAAAGTAAGCTTAAATTTTGAATTCAAGTTATCAAATTTTAAACTTTACTCTGATTTGCGAATAGGAATGTGGTAGCCAATAGAATCAGGGTATACATTTTTGACATAATACAGTTACATAGTAGCTGAAGTAAAGCAAGGCTGCCTAAGCTTTTTTTTCCTTCTTTTCTTACAAATAGGTGGTAGAAAAGCAGAACATAATCAGCAAATCAGGCCACTGGTGCAAAAAAGACTATGTGCTAGGTAACTGTATTATTTGTTTCATTTCATATAATACAATGACTTACAAATAATAACAATAATCATGGTATATAATACAAACATTTGCTCGGTAAGTGTGTATTTGTACTGGGTTATCAATCACTCATTGAAATAATAATCCGGACTTGCATAGTATACCTCACATCCTACATTGGTCTAGTTTTTAAGTAAGAACAACATCCTCTATGCTACCTGATATATAAGGCTTAACAGTCTGAAGATTCATGGGACTCGACTATGGTGCTATAAATGAATTCACCTCATATTTTTAAAATAAAGCTTGATATTAAATCAGCGATGCCATAGTTGATGACTTATCCTTTCATTCTGTTATATCTTGATTGTACGTTACCTACTCACATCATATTTCTAGTATAATCTTTATATCAACGTGAGTACTTCACATACACACAGTGCCTTTCCATGTGGTCACTAGCCACAAATATCTCCACAGAATTACTGGCAAATATAAAAATATCTTCATTCATAGAGTGTATTTTTAACATTTGTTCTCGTCTAGCTTAAGAGTCTCTTTTTACCTATAGCACCATGAAGTACTAGTACATCTCTGACTAACGAGAGTGGAGCCACTGCTACCTCTTCTCTTGTTGAAGTCTTTGAGCTTTAAACTTGGAGACTCTCTTCTGTGGCTGTAAGAGAGTGGGGTCTTGAACCTCTGTGGTATTGGACGTGGATAAACTTGACCTTTCTATCACAGACCCTGTGAATGCCTGGATCACAAAAGGGTTAAAAACTTCAAACTCATAAAACTAACAAACACAATGGTTTTGGTTGTCCATGTTTGACAAATCAAAAATCAATTGATATTGTTTTTGCATTAGAAAAATATTTTTATTATTTAGCAAAACTTTAAAGTTGTTAAAAATAGCCCTGTCAAATTCTTGTTGTCTGAGCAAGATAACATGAATGTGCTAGACTGTGAGTCTTAACACAGAGGAAGTCATTTTTCAAACAGCTTCATTCGAAAACTTACTTTTATCAAAGTATTCAAGTTTTTTTTTTTTTTTTACAGTTTATCAAACATCAGAAGAGCCCTTCTTGCTTTAAAATCCACTTGAACAACTGATTCGAACTAAAGCAAGTTCACATTTGTTAAATGTTTCTTTAAAATCTTCACCCTCATGCAAGTGCGAAAACTCAAGCACCCAACTAACGGCTTTGGAACTTACTTGAGGTGTGTTTGCTGGTTTCAATGCAGGGTTCTGTGTCTCTGTATCTTGACATGTGAAATCTGACACAGGACCAGGACTACATATAGTCTGAGATCTTCCCTGACTAGTGTAGTCTGTGGGGTGACCAGGGTTACTAGCTTTAAGGATAGACTTGGGTTGGTCTAATGGAGAAGACGAGGCAGCAAACTGCAGGTAGATATCTCTTGGGCTGTTGATTTTGCTCTTTGGCTTTTGGGCATCGCCATTTTCTTCTTGACTGGAGTTTGATGTGGTGGAGTGAACTGTATCCTTTTGTATAGAAAATAAATAAATAAATAAATAAATAAATAAATAAATAAATAAATAAGTGGCAAATTACACAAGCAGGTAAAATCCAATAAAAACCTAAAAAAATTTTCTCCAGTTTTGCAATGTTTACATAGTGACAGACTTCCTAAATGATACCAGTGAATAGTATATTGTTTTTAGGACTAGTCAGACATTAATGTGTAGACCGTTAAAAAGTATAAATGCTTGGGCATTGTGGAGTTATGACTAAGAGTGCATTCCCAGAGAATTAGATCGATCCATTTGGATCGACCTACCTCCTTACAGCTTTTAGTAGGCGGGACAGACGCTTAAGCCAGCTAAGCTGACAGTAATCTAGTGAGACTCCCCACTGGGATAGATCGATCTAAAATCTGTGGGAATAGGGTCTTATTGTTAAAAATGTTAATTCCCACCATGTTCCCAGTACTGTCAATACAAATCAAACATAAATCCACTTACTACTTTTTCAGTGTGTTTGAAGAAAATAGTTTTCCTGGGACTGTTAGATTGTGCCTCTGATGCCTCATCATCTGATTCCGTTTCTTCATTAGTGTCTGCAGCACTGCCACTTCCTGCCAGAAACAAAAGTGAAAGTACTCTAAAGTTCCAAAAATTTGTACCGGTACAATTACTTTTTTCAAGATTTTTTTTCCTGACGGTACACGTTTTTTCCACACGGTTTTCCCCATGGTACACCTTTTCTGCTAGTATAATTATTAATTTTTCCAATAACTTCCACACGGAACAATTATTTGGCATCTAACTTATCCACTGGAATTTTTGACAAGCTTAAAGACTTAGTCTAGTCTGATGCTAGTGCATTGAAAATACCGGGGTGCCAAGTCCGTGACTACTTGTATACTCAGTGCTTTGCCCTTTACTGAACTTTTCCTCAAGAAAGTAGGTCACACATTGATACAAGTAAGTCTTGCCCTGAACATGCATTTTCTAGGCTCCATGCAATGTTTTGGCATTTAAATCTACAAGCAGTTTTTTTTTTATTTTTAAAGCAAGTGCTGAATGCAAGTCTTGTGATGGGTATTTTAAAATTGCCCCTACAGATGATAGCATAAAATGACTAGCATGAGGCATTGTAACGATGTAGAGTGTTAGTTGAGATTGTTTTATACTGCTACCGGTAGATGTCTCTATAAGTAAAGTATAGTCCGGTGTGTAAGTTTGAATCTCTCCTGTGATTGGTAACTTAAAGGTAAAACTGTTCATTATGTTATTGGTTCCGATTGGTAAACGTGTACTATCTGATCATGTACATAAGGTGTAACTTGAAATAAATTGGCCTCTTTGAATTGGCCTCTTTGGTCTGCTCTTTGGGATCTCTTTTGGCCTTTAGAACCAGCTCTTGGCTTTTTCTTGGTTTTTTGACTCTGAGACACCAGTAAGTACATTGTTCTCTGTACCTTCATAAGGCACTCGGCCACGAAGGCGTAACAGCATGCCCAATCTGTAACTGTTCGGCGCCAGGTAGTCTTGGGCCTTCCTCTCTTTCTTTTTCCAGGTGGTGTCCATCTCAGAGCTACCTTTGGTACTCGGTTCTCGTCCATCCTAAGTACACACGGGACGAAGAGGAATGATGATGATGATGAGTCTGTAACTAGTTTGTAATGACAAAAAGCATCTGGTGGTGCATCAGAAATAAAAGTACAATAACCATGAAACACCAGGAATCCACTGACCATGATAAAAAACCAGAAATCCACTGACCATGATAAAACACCAGAAATCAACTAACCATGATAAAACACCAGAAATCCACTGACCATGATAAAAAAAACCAGAAATCCACTGACCATGATAAAAAACCAGAAATCCACTAGCCATGATAAAACACCAGAAATCCACTAGCCATAATAAAACACCAGAAATCCACAGACCACGAGAAAACACCGGAAGTACACTGACCACTATAAAATACCAGAAGTCCACTGTTTCTAATTCCACAGCAAGAGGGTTGAACTCCCTACACGGAAGTTCATTGAGTCTATTGAGTCATTTAGTCTCTTTTACAGACAGTACACATTCTTAATTAATATTTTCAAGGATCACCTACATATCTTGACTTTCCTCGTCCCAAATGTGTACATAAAATATAGCACAGTTGCTAAGCTTTCTTATGCAAAGACTCGGTGAACCATTGATGATGCATGTGCAACTTTTCCACTTATGAGCTATGCTATATAGTCTGTACCCATGTTGTTATGCCCAACACTACAATGCATGCGACATGCCACCTGCCACAATATCATTTCACACAATGCTGTAGCTCTCACTTCAATTCTGTGAATTTTTATGGCATTAATTCACGTGAAATGCTTCTTTGACATGTCAATTGTATTGCTTTTATTTCTGAAAGAAGAGGATATACTTTCCCCATGTAACTGAAACTTATTTCCAATGTCAGGCTTTGGTGTCACAGCCCAGATGGACGACTACTCATGTTACAATATGAACTGACACTGTACACATATCTATCCATCCATCCATCCATTCATCTAAAGACAGTAGTGTCTGCATAGTTATACAAAAGTAATGTGTGTAGCAACCAAGCACTTTCCTACCTTCACTGGTGCTCCCAGCTAATTGTAGTTTCTCTTCATCTTCCCATTTTATGAGTCTGCTCTTTGCTCTGCTTTCTGGAGGTTTCCCATCACCATCCTCATCATCTGACAGTCTAGAAAAAATATTTAATAATCACAAAAACATCTGTATCTGGAAAATACAAACACAAAATGGAATACTACTAGCAGACCTGAATCCTTTAACTACAAATCAGTTTTAAAATCTACAAATCTAACTTTAGATATAGTTTCTTGTTTTAACAATATTAAAAAACACAAGGCTGGATTTTACTCACTATTTGGCATTAGCATTGATTTTGCAGATTTAATGACATAATTTCATATGGTTTGCAAGTTTAATCAATATATTCCAACAAATTAAAAAGAATCTGGGAGGTAAAACACATTAGGTGTGTAGGGTTGGCTGCATGTAACTAGTATATTTGGCATGACTTCTCTGCTTATTATCATATTTTAATTCACTTATTACTCATTTTTATTTATTCAGTGAATATTTTCTTTTCCTTATTTTTGTTCATTTCATTTCCTTATTTATTTTTGTAGATATATGGACCAACCAGTACAACGAAGGAAGGAAAGACTACTTGAATCAGGTGAGTACCATTCATGGTGCTCAGCTGTAAGTTTACAAGTGTAATGTGCTTTATTGCGAAATTTTATTTTCCTTGGGAAATGCTGAACTTACTAGTATTCATTTTACCATTGCAGCCACCAAATTTTTTACAATCTATTCTGTAAAATTACTGCTTCCTCCTTCACAGGATACGGAAAATGTGCAGATTGTACACACTGTCTAGCCAAAGTCTCATAACACTTTACCATCACGGAGTACCCATTTCCCAAAACCGCACGTGGGTGTTACTCAATTTACATGCACATATGAACTTCCTGTCACAAAACAAGATATGGAAAATTACTTTAACTTAATTAAGATTTCTACAAATGATTCCAGTAAAGGTTAAATGCTAATATGAACCTTGTATTTCTCATGGCACAGCTTGTGGTTTACAGGAAAAGTGTCTTTTCCTGTCACTGAATGAAATATGGAGCTAAACTAGTTACTTCGCTCCTTTTATGCTTCAGTTGTCAACAGATTTTGCACACCATTGTAATGTGGCTTTATTTAGTGAACAACTAACATTGAGCAGTCTTGTAGTATTTATAAAACATCGCAGCTCATGGCAACTAATATTGCCAAGTCAACTTAGTCAAGTCTGCCATCTGAGTTCAGACAGAGAACAAGCTAAGTCCAAAATCCCTACAAAATATCCACTGTATCAAGGCATCAATTACTTAAGCTCTGAATGGACACAAAAGGCTTGTCCCTTAAACTGTTCAGTACATGAAGAAAATCAAACAGTTTAAAATTGCACGTTATTAAATCAACACTCAAATTTGAACATCTGCATGGTAAATGGAGGCTGGCTGACTTGAATGCCCACCTCATGCAGCTCCTGGTCTCAGATGTCACACTGCTTAGATTTCACCTCAGTGGTGTTTTCACATGATACCACACACACACACACACACGTAAGACAATCCCAAGATATACTACATAGTAAACTTTGAGTAAACCTTGCATATTCCATAAAACTGTAACTACAATAAATGGCAAGACATTTAATTTTTCTATAGAATTTTTTTCTTATGGGAATGTCAATGACATCTAACTTTGGCATTAAAAAAATTCTTAAGCGATCATTTCCCCCATGGTAGTCTGGTCATGCCTCAAACATCTTCACATGGGTGTGTATTTCCATCACTACATACATGAATGTCACATGGGATGTCTGGGTGGCATGCATTTCCCCCTTACCCTCCTTCCTTGTAACTCTACACACTCCAGCACTTCAACCTCACCAATATACGGTAATGACTCAATCATTTCAATGGAGAAAAATTGTGAATTTTACATGATTTCAGACATAATTTTTTTAATAAGAACATTTACTGAGTGGTAGCAACAAAATGGAAAAGCAGCCAATCTAAAGTTCTATTCTATACAGTGAAACTACCACAAATTCTACAAAAAAAAAAGATTTTTTACTACTTCAAAATTATGTTTTATGAAAGACTGATCATATTTGCCCATTGAGAAGATGGAGTCATTTCTGTACTTAGTCAACACTTATGTACATGTACTATCCCCATTGGATTACAAGCTTATTCACACTAAAGGTATGTTAAAAAAAAGCTACAAAGATAAGATGACAACAGAACTGAAATTTGAATCAGTAATCAGATATATTTACAATTTTGTGAAAATGTTCCATCATCTCTATTTCCCACAGATTCCAAATGCCCATTTTTTATTTTAGAATGACTAAAAAAGGGCATTCAGCCAATTTCCTTTATAAGCACACCAAAGTTTCCATTTTTTAAATATTACTTCAAACTGATGAGATAAGATTCTCCTGCCATAAGAGTATCTCAGCAATTCCCTACACATACCTATTCATCTCATTATTCCTGGCCTCTTGCATCTCCAGCTCATCAAGGCGCCTCCACAGGTCTTCATTAACCTGGTCTTCCTGCTTGGCTGCCGCTTTGCGTTTCTGCTGGTGATAACTCCGTACATTCTTTCTGTGTTCCTCTGAGAATAACATTTTTCATAATTATTTAAGAAATATTCACCAGCCCAGTATGAAGAAAAATTTGAAGCAAATTAAGAAATTTGTTTATCATACATATCATTCCACCACTTAATGGCATAGAGGGCATGGTATCAGTCTGAGCTCAACTGATGAGATTTTGATTTAGTTTCAATTCTTTTCAATAATCAAATACAATGTATACAATATATATATTTATATATACCTTCATTTTCAAATGGCAAATTAGCTTAAAGATTAGCAATGGCCTAATTGAAAGCAATTATACCTTTCCATTTCTTTTCCTCTTCTTCATCATACACCTCCCTGATTTCTCTATGATCAAGACTTTCCTAAGATGAAAAAAAGGCAGCAATCAGTTACGTACTTTCAATAATAACAGGGTGCTATAATACAAGTCCATATTCATTATTGGATAGAAAAAAACTTTCAGAAAATTGGAAAAAAGAAAAAACCTTGAAAAATCAAAATTTCAATTCAAAAGTATAGCAAAACTGGTATAAACTGAAAAAAATGTTGAAGTGGAAGTCTACATCAGATAACTTAACAAAAATTTTTTATTCTTGAAAACATAGACGAAAAACAGGCATAGAACTAATTTTTGCACAGACTAGCTTGGCAACAGCTTCACAAAAAACTCTAAACAAGCAGTGTTTCAGTACTTCACATAAGTAAGCAGAGTGATCTAATCATTAGGTTGGCCTTACATTAAAGATTTGCCCCACAAAAAAATACAACTTTTTTCTGGGGTAAACCACTCCTGGGTTGCACACAATTCAGAACTGTGTGAAAACATTTGACAAGTGGCCAGGTATGTTTATAAGGGGGTCAAAACTTGGATTATTTTTGGTTACATAATTCATCGCATGTATTTGTTCAAACACAATCAAAAAGTTCAACAAGCTGTAATTTACGTACTTTTAGGTGAAAAACAGGTGCTTAAATCAAGTGAATGATTTCCAGAAACCATTTTGTCATTTTCATAAGGTCAATATTTTTAGAGTAGTTTCAAGGAAGTGATGTCTTGCACACGCTGCTTTTTTTCAAACTAAAATTTTAACCAAAAGGTTTCTGTATAAATCTCTATAAGAAGCTTGAATAATCAGCCTAAACTGACCACTTAAATAAATTAGTACAAAATTTAACAGTGTTATTTGTTGATTTTTTCTGAACCGTGTTGAGGTAATGCAGACAACTTATTTCCTTATTGCCAGAATAACTAATAAGGGGGCAGAATGATAATAAGCTCACAAAGCCTACATATGGCATCCCCCGTAACAGTGTTTTAAACATTTCATACTTCTCTAAATGAAATATTTATACCTCTAATTAATCTGTAGTTATTATTTTTTAATTGCTGTTTCTTTTAAATACCAGAAAACAATTGACTATGCTTTTTTGGTAACTTTGAACATCAGTTACGAAGAATCTAAGATTAAAATCTGCAATCAGATATCACTCTTAAGCCCTGGCAAATCAAGTGAAAAGTCATGTTCCAAAAATATTTCAAATATTTTGATGTAAAAATCTGAAACTACAGGCACTTGAAGAGGCAAAGAGGCAGAAAAGGGTTGTAAAGGGAAAAATTCAGATGGTTTTCTTCAATTCACAAATACAGTAACTTGTTGCTTACCAAAAATTTTTATTTCATGCTATTTCCAAAAATCTTAAAGTAACAAATGCCTAAATTTCATTTTTCAAACTAAACATTTTTACTGAAACTAAGAAGATCGGTTATCCCTCCTTAGCTGTAAATATAAATGTAAAATTTGCAAAATGGATATTACCATCGCAAACCCCATTTCATTAGTCATTATGATGAAATACCTGTTAAAACATGGTACAAAATCTTCACATTTAACAGATTCCTTACCACAAGTTACATCACTGGCACTGGGAACTTCAAATTTATTACAAAATGCAGTTTTTTTGGCTAACTTGTGGCTGCCAAAGAGAAACTGGTCTCTTTTTAGCTCTCTTTCTGATATGCCTTCATCCAGCAACTTTTGAGGAGGTGGACATTGAGTTGATTGGATCAGGGTATGATGAATCAGATTATGATGACCTTAACAACAACTTTTTATATGGAAATGAAGATGGATTGAACTTGGATCCCAGCAAAAGTTATCCAGTGATTCAAAATTTAAAAAGTTTGCCTAAGGCCAAAGTGGAAGAGGCAAAAAACAAGGCTAAGAATGGTCCCCGAAGAAAAGACAATACAGGCAGCGAAAGTTTTAAAAACTCTGGTGAAATTTCTTCAGACAATCTCGGTAAAGACTGGCTTGGACAAGGAGTTGCTGAGGATCCTTTCCACTTAACAGACAGAACACAACAGCATGACAGCAAGAAGGGTAAAAAGAAGGACAATGAAAAACAGTCAAAAGACAAGGCCAAGAAGGCCATCCAGAATGATGGTGTCACTGACAAAAACAATCTACGCCACTATGTTACTGTTGATATGCGGGGAGCAGCATGTTGTCCAACTCAAAGTTGTCAGAGCACTTGTTCAACTACCAGGTAAGAATGCAATATCACTGTCCCCTAATTATCTAGTGTCCCATTCCCAATGAAAGCGTCATTCAACATAGATCGTTCCAACTTTAATTTGTTTGGTTTTGTAAATAAATTGTCAAATCCTACTTTTTCAGTAAATGAAAAAAAAATACACCTGGAGAGCATTTACAAAATTTAAGTTAAAATCATAAAGAATTAAGCAAACAGTATTCTTTCATACATTAAAGGCATACTGGATGAAAAATATTTAAAAATAATATCTATTGATTTCTTAAAATGGATTTTTGTACAGATTATCTAATGAGATATGAAAACCTTACATGGCAACCTGTTTGTCAGATTTTTTCTCTTGCAGAAACTAAAAACCAGAAATTAGCATACTAGTAATTTACTGGAATTTAGTGGTAAAACATTTATATGATTTTACCACTTGCTAAGGGTGGTAAAATGTTTTCAAAATGCACTCACCCGATGGAAAGTGCTTTGCCTTCAAAGAAAAGTGCCCGACCTTCTAAATGTCTCAGTACACATAAAATATGTAATATTCATTATCTTACACAGCTCAGTAGTTGTGACAAACATGCAGTTACTATCAGTTAGATATCTAAATCACTGATAAAACAACTTGATAACATGACACCCACCTCTTTTTCTTAAAGAAAAGATTAGCACTCAAACGTTGAAGCCTTTAAAAATTCTAGAAAAGACCCACCTTGGCCCAGCAGAACCATATCTTTTAACTTTAAAATTACCCAAATTGCATGTTTTGCAAAGATTTCCCAGCAGAAGGGGACCCCCCAACTCTTCAGCCCTAGTTTTACAGTACTATGTACTGATGGATCAAATAAACCTTGTTGAATCCAAGTTGGCTTTTGTAAACTGAATTACTTCCAATTCATTTTCTCACTGCACATTTTTATTAAGTTACCCTTTTTTCCCCTCCAGCTTTATTGATGTAGACATAACTGTTTTTAAGTTTAAGTTGGTCTTTATGTTTCAAACTTCTTCTTGATATGAAAGCAAATTATTCTCTTATACACACACTCACTCATAATTACGACTTAATTTTGAAAAAATATATTTCAGCTCTTCTAAGGCCATCTCTGACCAGTTACGCCAGCTGCGCAGCGATGTTCAGTTTTCTGTGAACTCTCTGTCAATGGACCTGAGGAAACAACTAGGGCAGATGCAGAAGCAATTGCTGGCAGGAATAGCTCATAATAACTACAGGCCAGGTAAGACAAATGAATATATTAGAACAAAAGCAACTTTTTACCCATTGTAATATATATAACTTATCCGTACAATCAATTGGTCATAAGCTCTGGTTGATCAGAAACAAGATGGCTGCAAAAACCAAGTACTCCCCAGGTGACAACAAAACTGTTCTCAGTAATGCTGGTTCAACCTCTCATTATAAGACCCAGCTTTCTGGGCCGTTGGATTCATATCAACTCCTCATTGGCAGCAAATGCAATGGACTGTCCCTTATTGCCATTACCTGGGCATAGAATGCTGTTCTCTTTAGATCTTTATCTAAGAGCCCCATGGAAAGGCATATGGGTATACACACACATACACACACACACACACACACACACACACACAATAATAATAATAACAAGGCAGCAAAGCTGTCAAATGTACAGACAAAAAGCAGGAAATAACTATGCACAAAATAGGCTACTGTCAATTCTGATGCAAAAGTACATTATGTTAAACTGCAAATTCAACATCAAATTTTAATTATGCTCAACAGGTAATACCAATGTAAGTAAAATGTGTAACAAGCATAAGGCTTCAGGCCCATGGCAGTTCAAGTTCACACTTTGAAAATGTATAACTTCCAGAAAAAGAAGCCAATTAGACTGTTTTTCCAACTCAGGCTGCATTTTAGTCCTGTATTTCTTTTTTGAACGTTTGGCAATCATCAGTAACATGTTTTTCCCATAATGGTCATCATGGCAGCAGCACCCAAAATTGTGTTTTCTTCTATTCTGATGCAATATTACATAATGGTTAACAGCATAATGACCGTCAATTTTTAATAATAAAATATACGTATCATGGATTTTCAGAAAATGTGACTAGCATGGGTCTTCAAGCCCATGGAACTTCAAAGTCACACCTTGAAAATGCCAATATGTGAAAAATTAAATTTTCACAAAAAAAACTGTTTAACTAGCAGAAAGAATTACCAAACAGACTGCATTGCCTACTGAAGCTGTATTTTAGTCCCATGTTTCTTTCCTGTAAGTTTGAGAACAGTAAGTGACATGATTTTTCTTAAATGGTCATCATGGGAGCAGTGCCCAAAATATTTTTTTTCCAAATTTTGATGCAATATTACATAACGTTTAACAGCATAATGACCATCAATTTTTAATAATAAAATATTAGTATTATGGATATTCAGAAAATGTGACTAGCAAAGGTCTTCAGGCCCATGGAACTTCAAAGTCACAACTTGAAAATGCCAAAATGTAAACAAGACAGCACTGTTCTGAAATGTTTTTTTTTTCCATTTTTAACACTTTTTTAACATAAAACAAAATTAACAGTTTACTGCCATTTTTATATGATCAACTAAGAAAATTGATGAGATGGGAAAAATATCAATAGAACAGTGTTAAATGTCCAATTTCTTCCATTCTGAGATTCTGAACATAGTGAATGATTGAATCTGACAAACTGCAATGATATGAGTTTATTTCCATTTTTGAAACTTTATTACACAATACACGATAACAAGTTTACCATCATTTTTACAAAATCAACTAACAATGTTGTAAAGATGCAGGAAATGTCAAACAAACACTTTTACGTATCTTATTAGTTTAATAATGAGACTGTTAACATGCCTAAGAATTGAATCTGAGGAAATGTGAAAAAACAGCATAACTTATAAAATAATGGTCTGATTATGCTGATTTTCGAACTTGACCTGCGTTTTAGTAAGATTGATTACTCCTGTGAGTTTCATGACAACAGGCCTATGGGTTTTCCTTGAAATGTGTTAACAGTGTTGCATATATGCTGAAAAGTGAAAAAACAGCATAACTACTAAAATAGTGGCCCGATCATGCCAATTTTCAAACTTGATCTGCGTTTTAGTAAGATTGATTACTCCTGTGAGTTTCATGACAACAGGCCTATCAGTTTTCCTTGAAATGTGTTAACAGTGTTGCATATATGCTGAAAAGTGAAAAAACAGCATAAATTCTACAATAATGGCCCGACCATGCTGATTTTCGAACTTGACCTGCGTTTTATAAATATTCATCAGCTCTGTAAATATAAAGCCAAAAAGTAAAACTGTCTTCCACTAATGGTGTTAACGCTGAAAGTGCACGGCGACATGATCGGCGACGGCGATGGCAACGACAGACGCATCTGTGTCTGTACATAATAATAATAATAATAATAATAATAATAATAATAAGTCCAAGATGCCAAATGAAAAACTTGTCTGAAACATTTGGCCCTCCCTGTCCTCTTCTTAATTTGCCACATTCCCACAGTTGTGACACAGTTGGATACCATTTTCTCCTGCATCATTGGGGGGGAGACAGAATGCATTTTGGGGAAAGTAATTTGCAGAACAGGATTTCAATTTAGAATAACTCCTGGCTATATTCGATTTAAAAAAGTGTTTATACCTTTCTGCCACAAGTAGTTAACAACTATTAACCATTAAATAAGTGAAAGAGAGAGAAAAGACTTGTAACACAGAACTTCAACAGCTGGGAAAATCTTAAACTTTTCTTGCCTCGCTTGACCCTGGCAATGGGACATCTTCCAGCATTAACCTCACTGGGGTGAACTTAACAGCTGGGAGGTTAACTTAAAGAAAGAATGCACATCTTTCATATGCAACTTCTCTTGCCAATTCACAAACTTACATACATGCTCATGGACACAAACATCTAGGTTTATTCTACCACACAAATTTACTTGTCAAATGCATCTCAAGCCAGCAGGGCACTTATGGTGGAGATCAAACAACAGTTACTGAAAGGTTAAACCAACAAAACCACATATCTACCTCGACTTGACAAAGATCTTGCCAGAACATTAGCTTATGTTCACTGATTCATACAAATGGCAAATCATTTGTGAGTGAAACTGTGATTTGAGTGTGCTGCCAGATCATCTATCCAAATTCTATACCACATCAAGATCTCTCACCAACATACAGGTTTTAACCCAAAATGGTATCACAAAGGCATAAATCATGTTGTGCATACAAATATGAACTAATATCCATGTACGGAATCATGTCAATTAATGCCGAGGTGAGCATCTGCACAAAACACCAATACGAATAGTTTTACTAAATCACATCCAAGATTAATCTTTGGAAAGCAAACACATTTGATTCCCCCACCCCCTGAGAAGCAAAATCTTACAAATCCCAGTATACTTGTATACAGTAGTATCCATGTTTACTGGGATTTGTAAGATTCTGCTTCTTAAAATTAAGATTAAAATGTTTAAAAATTTTATCCAGATCAAAATTAAATGAAACTTGGGTCCCCACTAACTCAAAACATCTGTCCATATGGTATTCTCATTTTTTTCTTAGTCAATAACCTACACTTTACGTCTTAAATCAGTTCAACCAGATGAAATGTTTCCCTCTTACTGGGTTATTTTCTTTAAAGACAACATAACAAAACATAAATTTAAATATTAAATGTGGAGTTGTCCCAGAAATTAAGGGTTATTTTTCATGAAAGTGCGTCAACACTTCTTAGACAGAAACCCTACTTTAAGCAATTTTTTCTTGATTTATATTTAAGTTAATGAGTGCTTGGCAATCTGACTACAAGATATCTATGAGAAAATAGAAGAAGTAAAATGTAAACATATAAGGAGAAGAAAATTGCAACAGACCCAGCAGGAACAAATTACCAGCGTTCAACTTGAAGGTCAATGGAAAAAATGAATCTGGAACACACCTACTAGTAACTACACCCCTGTTGTTGTTAATAAAATTATGTATCCTGCCCAAATCTTACTTTGATTTACTTCCAAGATTTACTTTTTTTCTTGCCATTCTATCCAATCCTTACTTCGTAAATTTAAAACTGCTTATATACTAAAGCAAGAGATTGGTGTAACAGAAATGAGAAAATAATGAAATACAGTAGACTCCTCATAACTCTGACACTTTGGACCAAAACATCTGTTCAAATTTTGCAAAGTTTCAAGCTAGGTAATACCAAAGAGAAAAAATACCATTCCAGACTACATACCATGAGATTTGTTGAGATCAACTATAATTCAAGTTATAAGGCTTATCTGTATCTCAGATAAACCATAGTATACATGACAGTCACCAGGACTAAGTCTCTGGACCTTGAGACCAATTCACTACATGTAGGCTGTATCCCTACACTTATATCAGCTAATGAAAATAAAGTATTTGAAACATGTATTTGTGTTCACCAATGTGTCACACTTATAAAACTGTATGGAAACATATCTACTAATAACATAAAATTTGTATTTTTAACTTCTATATGATTTATAAAACATTTTCCAGATCTGAACACAGCAGCCCAGAGTGGCAGTCAACCACAGGTGGTGTTTTCGCCCTGCCCCCCAGGGTTCACGCCATTCCAGACTTCTTGTTACGTGTTTGAGTTGCATCAGACAGACTGGGTGTCAGCTAATAAGATGTGCAGAGACCTTCATGCTGCGAACCTCGTCAGTATTGAGTCCCAGGCAGAGCAGAATTTTCTCAAGAATCACATCAAGCGGAATAAATTGAAACCAGGTACAGAATTCTCTGTTAGCTACCACTCAGGCTCTGTTTGATATCTGTGTATGTGCAAGAGTGTCTTTAGGCATTTCAAAGGAATTTGTTCACAGCAAAATTGGTGCAATGTACAAACTGATGCAAGTTTAATTTTATCCTTTCTCCAACTTATCCTTTCTCCAATTTATCCTTTCTCCAACATCTCAGGGTTTACTTTTTGAATCTTTTCCTATGATTTCTTTATATAAGTTAAATCATGTTTTTTTTGCATCACAAAAAAAAAAAAAAAAAAACACAAAAAAAAAAAAAAAAAAAAAAAAAAA